TGGGAAGATGAGGTGGGAAGACGAGGATGGGGAACATGAGGTGGTGGGTGGAACAAACATGAGGTGGTGGGTGGGGAACATGAGGTGGGGAAACATGAGGGGTGAGGAACATGAGGAGGGGGGGAACATGAGGGTGTTGGGGGAACATGAGGTGGTAAGATGAGGATGGTGGTAACATGAGATGAGGTGGGGGAAACATGAGGGTGGTGAGTGGGGAAATAATGAGGTGGTGGGTGGGGGAAACATGAGGTGGTGGGGAACATGAGGGGTGGTGGTGGGGAAACATGAGGTGGTGGGTAAACATGAGGGTGGTGGTGGGGGAACATGAGGTGGTGAGGGGAACATGGGAGGGTGGGTGAGGGAAACAAGAGGTGGGGAAACATGAAAAGGGAGGATGGGTGGGGAATATGAGGGTGGGGACATGAGGTTGGTGGGTGGGGGGACAAGGAGTGGTGGGTGGGGAAACATGAGGGTGGTGGGTGAAACATGAGGGGTGGTGGGTGGGGGGGAAATGATGATGGTGGTAAACAGAGGGGTGGGTGAAGTGGTGGTGGGGAAACATGAGGGTGGGGAATATGAGGTGGTGGGCAAATGAGGTGGTGGGTGAAGGGAGGATGGGCAACATGAGGGTGGTGGGTGGAGGCATGAGGTGGTGGGTAAAGGCCATGGGGTGGTGGGTGGGGAAGCAGAGGGTGGGTGGGAATATGAGGGTGGTGGGGAGAACATGAGGGTGGGGGAACATAAGGATGGGGAAACATGAGATGGTGGGGAATATGAGGATGGTGGGTGGGGAACATGAGGTGGTGGAGGTCACGAGGGTGGGGGAAGATGAGGCAGGGGTGGGGGAAGATGAGGAAGATGAGGAGGTGGTGGCAAACATGAGGATGGTGGGAACATATGGGTGGTGGGGGGAAACATGAATGGGGGGAAACAATGAGGGTGGTGGGGGAACATGAGGATGGTGGGTAAATGAGGGGGAACATGAGGGGTGGTGGAACATGAGGATGGTGGGGGTGAGTGGGTGGGGAGAACATGAGGTGGTAAATGGTGGGGTGGGGGAACATGAGGATGGTGGGGAAACATGAGGTGGGAAACATGAGGATGGTGGGGAACATGAGGAATAGTGGGTGGGGAAACATGAGGTGGTGGGGGAACATGAGGGTGGTGGGGGAAATGTGAGGGTGGTGGGGAACATGAGGGTGGTGGGGAAGGATGAGGGGTGGTGGGTGGGGGAAGATGAGGATGGTGGGTGGGGAACATGAGGGTGGTGGGTAAATGAGGGTGGTGGGTGGGGGAAAAATGAGGGTGGTAAACATGAGGTGGAGGAAACATGAGGGTGGTGGGGGAACATGAGGGTGTTGGTGGGGGAACATGAGGTGGTGGGGGGGAAGATGAGGATGGTGGGTGAAGATGAGGATGGTGGTGGGGAACATGAGGGGTGGTGGGTGGGGAACATGAGGTGGTGGGTGGGGAAACATGAGGTGGTGGGTGGTGAACATGAGGTGGTGGGTGGGGAACATGGAGGGTGGTGGTGGGGAAACATGAGGGTGGTGGGTGAGGGGAACATGAAGGTGGTGGGTGGGGAACAAGAGGTGGTGGGGGAAATGGGGGGACATGAAGGTGGTGGGGGGACATGAGGGATGGTGGGTGGGGGAATATGAGGGTGGTGGGGGACATGAGGTTGGTGGGTGGGGGACATGAGGATGGTGGGTGGGGGAAATGATGAGGGTGGTGGGTGGTGAAACATGAGGGTGGTGGGTGGGGGAACATGAAGGTGGGGGGGAACATGAGGGGTGGGGACATGAGGGTGGGGGGGAACATGAGGGTGGTGGGGGAACAGGAGATGGTGGGTGGGGGGAATATGAGGGTGGTGTGGGGACATGAGGATGGTGGGTGGGGGGACATGAGGATAGGGTGGTGAAACATGAGGTGGTGGAGAAGGAACATGAGGGTGGAGGGGGGAAACATAAGGGTGGGGGGGAACATGAGGGTGGTGGGGGGGAAACATAAGGGTGGTGGGTGGGGGAACATGAGGGTGGTGGGGAACATGAGGGTAGGGGGGAACATGAGGGTGGGTGGGGGAAACATAAGGGTGGTGGGGAAACATGAAGGTGGTGGGGGGAACATGAGGGTGGTGGAGGGAACATGAGGATGGTGGGTGGGGAACATGAGGGTGGTGGGGGAATGAGGGTGGTGGGGGAACATGAGGATGGTGGGGTGGGGAATATGAGGGGTGTGGGGAGAACATGAGGGTGGTGGGGGGAATATAAGGGTGGGGGGAACATGAGGATGGTGGGTGGGGGAACATGAGGGTGGTGGGGGAACATGAGGGTGGTGGAGGGAACATGAGGGTGGTGGTGGGTGGGAAACATGAGGATGGTGGGTGGGGGAAGATGAGGGTGGTGGGTGGGGGAAGATGAGGATGGTGTGGGGAAGATGAGGGTGGTGGGGGGAAGATGAGGGTGGTGGTGGGGGCAGAGGTGGTGGGTGGGGGGCACATGAGGGGTGGTGGGTGGGGGGAAACATGAGGGGTGGTGGGTGGGTGGGTAAACCTGAGGGGTGGTGGGTGGGAGGGACATGAGGGTGGTGGGTGAGTGGGGGAACATGAGGGTGGTGGGGAACATGAGGGTGGTGGGGGAAGATGAGGTGGGTGGGGAAGAAGAGGATGGTGGTGGGGAACATGAGGGTGGTGGGGGAAGATGAGGGTGGTGGGTGGGGAACATGAGGGTGGTGGGTGGAGGAACATGAGGGTGGTGGGGGGAAGATGAGGGTGGTGGGTGGGGGAACATGAGGGTGGTGGGTGGGGGGAAGATGAGGATGGTGGGTGGGGAACATGAGGGTGGTGAGTGGGGGGAACATGAGAGGGTGGTGGGTGGGGAACATGAGGGGTGGTGGGTGGGGAACATGAGGTGGTGAGGGGGGAACATGAGGGTGGTGGGTGGAGGAACATGAGGGTGGTGGGTGGGGGAACATGAGGGTGGTGGGTGGGGGAACATGAGGGTGGTGGGTGAGGGAACATGAAGGTGGTGGGTGAGGGAACAAGAGGGAGGTAAGAAATAAAACTATCAGTGATAATACAGGGTGCTACCATAGCATACAGTCTACAAAGATATCCTCAGTTTAACTTAACCTAGCCTTGCCTTGCCTTGCCTTGCCTTACCTTACCTGACCTGACCTGACCTTACCTGAGATAATACAGGGTGCTACTGTAGCAGGCAATCTACAACGATTCTTGTTTAATTTAACCTAACCTCACCTCACCTCACCTTACCTGATCTAACCTGACCTAAATATCTTATAGACTGCACACTATAGTAGCACCTAATACAGCAGGTGTGTACAGAATTCCATGTAAGGAATCCTGGCCTCAAATGTGTTACCTGCAGGGCCGGATTAACCACAAGGCTGTAGCCTTTGGCCCTCGAGTTTAGGCCTTAATTTGTTTCTTAAACTTAAATCTTTGTCACCAGTTCACAACTTTACAAGGTGGTTAAGTAAACGACTTTTGTTATGTTTATTAAGGCTGTACAGTTATTATATACTAGACTAAATACCTCCTTTTTATGCATATAATGTATGGAAGTACAGTATATATATTGGCCCTTCCCTCTTATCAGCCTCAGGTCCCTCACAACCTTAATTCAGCCCTGGTTAACTGACACTGTCAAAGGAGACCGCTGCATGATGCCTCAAGGGGGAATCCCAGCTGAAGTTCAGGTGATGTGAGTTAGGAGTTGATGTGAATGTAACCTTACCTGTGAGCTGTGACCTTACCCCACCCCCAGGCTCCGCTCTGATTATCCCATCCCTGGGCACAGTTTGTCAAACCTGCCACTCAAGTACGAAAAGTGACAGCTACGGTCAGCAGCTGATGGGCCACACATGTCAACACTGACATTGGTTACGTTAACAATAGGTCAATTATTTGACCGATGCATATGATACCTTTGCAACAGTCTGAATTTTTTGAGTGATGCAAATACATTCGTTGCAATGGCCTGAATCTGGCCCTGAATATGAAGGTGTTGGGTGTGGGAATGAGAGGGTGGTGGGTGGAGGTTACAAGAGGGTGGTGGAACATAAAAGACAGGATTCAGTACTCACGTCTGCACTGGTAGGCATTGATGGAGGTGGCTCTGGACCAGGGAGCATCATTGTAGAAAGGAAGACACTCATCACAGTTATGGCCAGCAGTGTTGTGTTCACAGCGACACACCAGCTGCTCCAACCCATCCAGCCCTGTTGATGGCACGCACTCTGATGCATGCCCGTTACACTTACACCTGCAACCAAGTAAACCACTGTTACTTAAACCTAAAACCATGTACACTACTGTTACTTACACCTGAAATCATGTACAGTACACCACTTATTTACACCTATGACAGTGAACATCACCCTCACTTCCTCTATAAAGCATCGTTATTGCACATACAACAATGTACAGTCCTAAAAACAAAATATCGTTACTTTCCACTCCTCACAACTTCAAATGCTGGATTAAATGCTTTGATATAAAGTACTGTACTGTATTCTCCAGTGCATCATCATATGTTGGAATGCCTGTTTCCCACAAATACTGTACAATACGGAACTGTACAGGGTATACACAAAATATGTACTGTATTTGAAAAATATCACATCACATCTTACATAAAGTCAAGCACTCGTTTCAAGTTCTCTATTTAATCCAAATAATACTGCTCTAATCTACATGTTCTAAAGGTCATACTGTACTCTGTGAAAGTAAAGCAAAATTATTGGCTTATTCATCACTCTAGTGCAGTGAAAATTGAGTGAAAATATAAGATATTCACCCTCACAGGGAATATTGAGAGCTCCAGAGCTTTACCTTGGTCTGCCAACAAAGTCAAATGCCCAAGCTAATGAGCAGCTTGAGATATCATGCTCATAGCCAATCAACAGCCTTGGAGATTAGAGGATGCTGCCAATAGGTACTTTGATCTTACTGTCTTTCATAATGTCATGAAAAATAATATTATTTATTCAGTGAAGTCATCATTCAAGTTTATAATTGGTTTGGCATGTACAGTACAGTCGCAGAGTACAGGCATCCATAGTACACGAACTAGCTTATACATGTCTGACCCTGTGAACTGCCCTTACACTGAGTGTCGATCTCACACGAGACAACCCACCCAGCTTCTCTACCTAGTCAGCATGTTCATCACTTGTCCGTGCTCATTATGGAAAAAAACAAAATGATTACAATACATTAATGTGGTTTAGAAACAAAGAAAATATAATATAAAACTATAAAATAAGTAAAATGAACACACACCAGGTGTGTTGCCAAGTGCTTCTCAACAGCTGACATTCAACCCGCCACCACGCACAATAAGACCTAAACTTTATATAAAATTATAACACATTTAATAATCACTTGTAGTCATGAGTACTACCTTAAGCAGCATCACATCACAACAGCAGTGGGAGACAACATAGGACAGGAGTGGTTTGTAAGAGGTTTATATTCCAGTTCAATGATTGTTGGTACAGTGTTGTTCAGTGTTGGGTTTGTTCTGCATATGAAGCAGGTGTTGCTCACGGGTAGCTCGAACAGTCATAGCGCAGGGTCCCTTCCTCTACCTACTACCTGTGAGTATTCCATATTTATTATCATTTGTGGTTTATGGTGCTATTTGTGTCTTAAGAGTGCCTTGTGTAATACCGGTATGTTTGTCAATTACTATGTATGAACATCTTAGTGTGTATAAATCTTGCAAATGTAATGGCATGTTGACTGTTACTACCAAATTAATAGGACAATATTCTAAAAGTACTGTATTGTTGCAGCTTTTTTTATTCATGGTCACATCAGTGTGAGCGGCTGCACTCCTAGCCCTGTATGTCAGCACGCCAGCTAGGACTCTGTCAGTCCTAGACTCTGTGCTGTTCCTCCCGGGTTCATTCTCAAGTACCTGTGCCGGTTAGGAGGATACTTGCTCTCCAGCGCCATTTTTGTTGAGGAGAAGACCCTATTTGCAACCTGTTCCGTGTTGATATATATGACCCCACGCTTCACATCTAATGTCTACACTCACGACATCTCTTCTGAATGACAGTCCGGCACTCCCATACCTACATATGTTCATGTGTAAATACTTGTAAATAGAAATATCTTGTTACAAATATCCTTCAGCGTGTTCAATATCCTTGGTGAAAGTGAAAGTGTTCCACCTGACATTAAACTTGAAAAGAACCAGAGGGCATTAACATCTAAACCCTAAACATGGTTACTCCTGGGATGAGGGGCCAGGATGTGGCTCCTCCTTGTATTTCAGTGGTTTCTTGAAGAAGGCATCTAGAGTTGACTGCCTTTTCTTGAGTCAATAATATAAAACAAAATTTACTGAACAAACAGAGGGGAGCACTAGGCATTGATTGGTTGCAAGCATACTGTACAGTATGTGTGTACGGCGCTCTGATGTGCCTAGTGAGTATAAACAAAGAGTTGCTCTCAGCGTGCTGTGAATGTTCAGAATCATGATTTTTTACTCTTTTATGAATTTTCATTTTTTTTTTATGTAAAACTAGAGCTCCAAGATGTAAGCAAGAGCACCATAATGAAACAGCGCTCTAAGGGATAGCGCTAACCGGGGTATTATCGTATGCAGTTCAGCACCTATATAGAAAATGTAGTTGTACAGTATACTGTACTGTACAGTACATATATACAGACTATGGAAGTATGGTATACAGTGCAGGATCGCAGGTATACAATAGTAAGCAGTCTGGTAATATGACCAAGGATAGCTAACAAAGCCATGAGATGCTTATTTCCAGTAGGGTCCTTATGCCAACAGTATCTGGTGTTCCCAGGCAGTACTAACCAGATCCAACATTGCTCAACTGTGCTGAACGGACGAGAAGTTGGTGTTTTCAACGCAATATGGCAGCTAGTAATTTATCGACTGATGATTTAGCAACTGTTGTACAAGAATTAAGAAGTTTACATCCTTAGATACATCAATTCCCAAGATGGAACTTGAAAATATCTACCAGATCCAAGAATGACAATGATCATGCAAATTACCCACTCCCAACTCAGGGGGCAATGACAAAAAATAACAATGGGAGTCTCACCTGAGGCCTTGCAACTGGAATGAGTACACTTTAAATCCTTTCAGTTTATAGCTACATTATATCCAAGGGACTTCACCTGTTGCCAAAGCTTCTATGGATTTCTATACAACCACACACTGTTTACTACAAGAATAGCCCCATTCTAACCACTCTAAAAATCAACAACTTGTAGAAAATGTGCATGTTCACTCTTTGTCAATCTCCCTTTTGTATTGTAACTATGCTGAAATTCCTTGCTAAATGACCCCCTCCCTATGTCATTACAGTATATGTACCACCTATATCTTTTGTATATTTTTAGCTTGTACACATACACACTCCACCCAACTCCCTCTTTACTGACGCAATAGCAGAAAAATCCCTCCAAAAGTCTCAATTTCGTTTCGGAAAGAAGTGAAATCAGTAACAACAGAGAGTCGTGGCCACGTTAACCTTCACACCCACCAGTGAGGTCCTAGAATACCTAGCAATAACTGCCCCTGGGAACCGACCATCATCTTCTGACCAGGTAGTATAGTGTTAACCAGTCTACTCTGGGAACAACCATGGGTTGGCTTTATATCTAACTGAGGTACCACAACACTACTTGGCAAAAAGTTAGGTGCTGTGACACCACACCACATGGTGTTTCCATGACACTGCAACATAATGACTGAGTTGCTACAACATCATGTGAAGTCCCTCAAGACAAATGTGAGTGAGTTACTGTAGTAGCATATGAGGTCCTTCATGTCAACACCTATAGACGAGTTTTTGCACCATGTGGTCTACTTGACCTCACACAGTAGGGCAAGAGACCAGCACCTGCCATCAACTGTAAAGTATAATTTGTATGTTAAAACTCGTGTTTCTTTTCCTTATAGTAATGAAAGCTTTTGTTAAACAACCCACCCACCCCCATGTCTGTGTATGTAATAAGACATTTCTGCCCAATGTATATTTTCAACCGTTTGGCTGCTGAAGTTTTTCAAAAACCCTTATTATTAATCTTTATTACACATACACACACACACACCATCATGCCTTATGCTGCACAACATAAACCACAATGTCATCATGCTTCAAGTATATTACACCAACCACTGCCATGCCCCTCATGGTTCTAGGACATACAGTGGGGTATGCTATAACGAACGGATCCTACTACGAATATTCCTATAACGAACGGTTTTACCTATAAAATTGAGAATGCTATAACGAACGCAACTCCTACAACGAACGCGGATGAATACCGGACTATTTCGCCTGGCGCATGAATATTGTTGTACCGCGACCCACAACAAGAGCGTCAGGCGCCATCTTTGTCTCATTGTGTAGCCAGTGCACCACTGTTATTGTTGAAATTTCGTCTTTTGATGTGGAAATTCGCGTTATTTGTATAACTATTTTGTTATACAAGTATACAATTGTAACAATGAGTCGTCCAAAGCGAGTGAGAAAGCTAATAACCCTTGAAACTAAGAAAGAAATTATAAAGAAACGTGAGAATGGAAGAAGCATTGCGAAACTTAGTGATGAATATGGGATGGCTAAATCGACTATATGTACGATTTTGAAGAATAAAGAGGAGTTAAAAACTGTGCAAGTGGCTAAGGGAATCTTTAGACTTAGCAAAGCAAGGTGTAATGTGATTGAAGAGATGGAAAATTTACTCTTAGTGTGGATAAAGGAGAAAGAAATGGCAGGTGGTAACATTAGTGAAGCTATAATTTGTGAGAAGGCTAAACAATTGTTTGAGGACCTTAAAGCCAAGACTCCCAGTGGAAGTGATAGTGATGTGCCAGTGTTTAGGGGTACCTGCATGCTGAATAACACTAAGGTAAGATAAAGTACCGTATTTTTTACATTTTCCACAGAATTTTTTCAGTGTTAAGCGGTTGTATTTGGGGGCCTGGAACGGATTAATCCTATAACGAACGAATGCTATAACGAACGAGATTCTGGAACCAATTACGTTCGTTATAGCATACCCCACTGTATTGTCACCGGACGATTCGTTACCATTATAAATGTTATCTCCGCTGGCTTCAGCTACAGTGCTGGCGATTGCCACCTTACCCAAAAAAACATTAAATCTCTCAGCCTGCGTCCACGTACACCGCGACCCCCCACACGACCTGTGACCTCGCCAGATGTAGCGGCTGGCCTCCATGATAGCAGATTGCCCTCTCCAGTGATGCTGTGAGGACCAGCCCTCTGCTAGCAGTGGTGAACACCAACTCGCAATCCTGGCCGAGTTTTGTGCGGGAACAATTTACGCAGTACTATTGTCCCTTGGAATGCCATACTGGTTCGCATTAACCCGCACTTGTAAGTACAACCTAAGTGATGACATACCCCTCAGTACTGAAATATTGTTGACTAATTATGCCTACTCGTTTCTGCCTTATATGGAGTAATAAGACAAAGCGGAATGAAGCGTAACTAAGATTAATAGAGTTATGAACTTTGTATCATGTCACTATGCTTAATAATCAATTGTAATTAAGATGAAATTGTGTGAGACTAACTAACTATGTAGCAGATGCATCACCATGTAATACTAATGAACGCCTTGTTCTCTGCAGGTTTTGACCACACCAATAAATATTGAATGCGTCAAAAGGCGGGTTTCAATCTTTTCCCTTCGACTTGCCCATCACCTGGACGTCCATAACTAAGGCATTTACAATAAACATTACCTAACATGACTTAAACTAACCTAACTTATCGTATATGGCAGTGTAAAAGTTGACCTTTGAAGCCAAATTTTTAGTGTCCAAAGTTAAGGGATCGACTTATATGATGGGTATAAAATGATGACCTCTAAAATCATGACCGTAAGTGAGAGTATTTGGTATTACAACCTTCATATTTACCTTTAATATAATTGCTCTATTTCTATTATGGATGAAATAAAAATTTTCTCAGTAGTTTTTAAACACCTTTTGTTATTGATGTTTTAAGAGTGTGTGTGATCGAGTGTGTGTGATCGAGTGTGTGTGATCGAGTGTGTGTGATCAAGTGTGTGAAACCATGCAGTAGGTAAAACGAAGTCAATGTAATCTGATAAAATTGCACTTTATTGACATACAATATAAAAATATCTTCCAAAAAAACAATGCTATTTTATTTACAAGTGAACTCTAAACTTACCCTATCTAAAAACCTTCAAAGTCAAAGTCATATTCATGGGTAGCAGACAAATGTAGGTCACCATAAGGGTCCGACTCCGAATCACTGGTTTCGTCTTTGTCTTCAGTGTTGCTGTCCTGTTTGTCTAAACTTCTCCACAACATATCGTCTTCTTCACCATCTATCGGGTTAGAGATACCACATTTCTTGAAGGACTTTGTGATAACTTTTACTCGAATGGCATCCCAAGATTTGGCAACGAATTCGCACAGTGCATGAAGTGGTGGAGTGCGCATATTCCCTCCCTTTGTGTACGTCTTGTACCATCCACTTGTTCCACTCTGCATGAACATTTTCTTTAAATGGCTTGTTAATGCTGACATCTAAAGGTTGCAGAATAGATGTTAAACCTCCTGGGCTAAACCGGTCCCACACAAACAGGCTATTCTCTTTGCACAGTCCACCTGTCCTCTTATTCCACACATTTTCAATCCCAAATTTCACCCCATCTTCATCCATCCATCCACTCTCTTGGACATGAACAAAAACACTTGGAGGGAATATTAATTTAGGCAAGGTTTTCCGTTTGAATATTACCATAGGCTTCAGTTTTGTACCGTCACTCATGCAACTCAACACCACAATGAATTTTGTTTACTCGTGTCCTGTACTTTTCATTATGATGGTTTTTACTCCCTTAGAAACAACTGTTTTATTGCTGAGCATATCGAAAAATAGAGGGGTCTCGTCCATATTGGCAATTTGACACAGCGGAAAGTTGTGTGTCTTCCGTAGATCAATAATATACTGTTGAAAAGCGGTGACTTTGTGTTCGAGGTCAGCTGGAAGTTTTTGAGTTATTTTGGTCTTCTGCCGCAGCACCAATTCATTTCTTCTCATAAACCTAGAAAACCAGTTTGGGGCAGCCTTGAAATTTTTATTCGAGTCTGGATTTGCTCTTGCCCACTTGATACTTTCCACGCAGATGTTATTTCTTGTTATTGTGATTCCATTCTGTCGGTGTTCACGGATCCACTTGTTCAAATGTTCTATTTCTGGCCACTGAGCTTTGCCATGTCGTGAGGCACACTTTTTCTTTGCCATTTTACTTATTGTATCTTCGTTCTTCTTGCAATCCCTCACAGGTTTTTCACTAATTCCATAATCCCTTGCTGCTGCTGCACAGTTATTTGTAGAGTTGGCACACACAATAACCTCAGCTTGAAACAAGCTTCATACTTTGTTCATTTGGCAGGAGGGGTCATGGCTGTCAGCTGTCTGGTCAGTGGTTGTGTGTGGACTGTGGTGGAATGAGCAGGAAGTCAACTGAGTTCAGTGTTGTTGTGATTGTTGGGTTCGTCACTAATGACGTTGTGTGTGACGTCATGCATAGAGCGGCTTGTTTACCTGTTTATGTATGTGTGTTGATGGTTGACTTGGTCCTTCACAACACTTGACAGCTGCTGGAGTTGGGGAGTCGACATATACGGTAGGTATACCTCTATGACCAGATTTTTTTGCTTGAAAAAGGGAGTCGACTTATACGCCAATGAAACCATGGTTTCATTGCCTCCAAAGAAAAGACAAAATTATCTAAATTTAATAAATATAACATGGTGCTTCATAAAACGATGACAAGATATCCGCCCACTGCCCCTCATACAACATATCCAGTAAACCACCATTAACTCTATGCCTTACCTGCCCCCCACAGCAAATTCGGTGATGGCATAGAAGTAGGATTTGAGCACCCTGGGATCACCAAAGACCTCATCTCGGAAGGTATTGAGGCGGTCAAGGATGATACGGATATCAGTGGCTGTGACCCATTCCTGCAAGACAATCCATGAATAGTCACCATTCATGTTTGAATACTTCACCTCATCACTATTACACCAAGACAAACACATTACTGAATGAATATCTTAATGTCCCTGTTTTGGGGGAATTATAAGATGTAGAGTTCACACAACACAAATACTGCAACAGTTATTGTAACATTTAAAATGATAGTACCCAAGAATTATATGATGCCTTGTTTACAGCCAGTTATACAGTTAAACTTGCCATTACTGATTTTTTGTACTCTGCACCAAAATTAGATAAACTGGAAGTTTGTGGGCCTACTTAGATTGACATCAGTTAGTTTGAGTTTGAGATGATTAAATCCAGTTAATATGGTTAGGATACATTAAATTAGGTTAGATACCTTCTACAAAGACTAAAATCAACTATTATTTTATCAATACAGTTCTGTATTAATATAGAATATACAGTACAATACAGTACAGGGTACATATAATATAAAGACTTTAGTTGTGTGTACTGTAATCTATAGGAAAATATCAATATTAATTTGCCAATACTTATAAGAAACTGTATACTGTACTGTATTCATCCATGAACTATTAACCCTCTCACAATATTCTATTTGGTTAACGCCAGATGATTTTATTCAGATCAGACGGAAACCGTACAAAAGGGTTAAACATGGAGAAGTCATCATGTGGATAAAATAAGTACAGCAAGTGGCTCACCTGCAACTCAGAGCTGTTCTCAAAATTATAAGCCGAAGGTCGACCCTCCAAGGTGGAGAAAGCCACATTGCCACCTGTCAGAGGGGAGATGTCTGAAAATTCTGAGGTGCAGAGTGCACGGGTTTCATCTTCCCGCCTCACATATGTTGAGTCTGGGATACCATAGGTGTCGCGGCAGGTGGCACTGTAAGAAAAATCCTTTATTACCACTAGAACACTATACTGTACCAAACATATCACATGACACATTACAGATACAGTACATAACAATAGTTTGTTGTTTTTTAAGGGGAATAGCCCACCCGGGCAAAGATCATCAACCCACTATAGGATCTGGGGGGTGAAAAAATAATAGTAAAAATAAAAAAATAAAAAATTAGAGGAGAAAAGGACTTAATCTACACCACGAAGATGCTGGAAAACCAGCTTTTTAAAGTGAGAAAGATTGTAAGCAGATGGAAGCACAGAAGAAGGCAAAGCATTCCACAGTTTGGCTGTGTGAGGAAAGAAGGACGGCCACCAGACTGGTGCCTGCTCTACAGAACCTCAGTTACCCAGAGAGAATGCATTGCCTGCAACTACCCAGTTTATTCTACAGACGGGCAAGGGGCGACCTAATCAAAGTGTATAAACATCTCAGAGGGCACTACTTGGTCGAATGTACATATCTGGAGCTGGCGGACGCCCACCCCACAAGTGGTCACAGCTCAAGGTTGAAGAAGCCACTCGTCCAGAGAATTGTAAGGGCAAACTTTTTTGGAGTGAGAGTTGTGAACTCTTGGAACAATCTGCCAGAAAGTGTTGTGAGCTCATTCAAGACCAGACTTGACCAACACTGGAGCAGGTTACAATATATTTAGGAGCCGGTGCATGCCCAGTACTTGCCAACAGTGAGTATCAGAGACGTGACCGATCGCCCAAGCAGTTAACGAGCCGATCAGTGGCGAAGAGGGTCAAGGTAAAGTATAACGGGTTATTCTAGTACAACCAACATCCACACAGAAACAGTGGGCACCGCGGGCAAGACGAGTGTTACATGCTCACGGCCTTGCCAGTGATACACTAGATGCCAAATCCATTGAACACTGCCCGTTAAAGAACCTGTAAAAGAGAGAAAGTGAAGCAACATTGCAGCGAAGAGAAAGGGAAGAGAGATTATCAACTAAAGAAGGAGAGTTAATAAGACAAAATGCCTTTGATTCCACCCTATCTAACAGTTGGACAGAAGAACCACCCCAGATATGAGAGCGGTACAGTAAGTCCTCGTATAACATCGTCCCGCTTAGCGTTGTTTCGGTACTACGTCGCTAAACTTTAAGAGACCAAAAATTCGTTTAACATCCTAGTGATCCGATACTAAGTCTTTTGCCTCATCACGGACTACTTTCTACGGCACATCACCCTCTCTCGTCTGGCCGCGCTACGCTCTCTCGGCTCGGCGCAGAGTCTCAGTGACTCACCACCCTCCCCCGCTCCCGCCCTCCTCCTCTGCTCCCGCCCTCCTCCTCCGCTCCAGCCATACTCCTCCGCTCCCACCATACTCCTCCGCTCCCGCCATACTCCTCCCCTCCCGCCATCCACCTCCGCTCCCGCCATCCACCTCCTCTGCTTCACTACCCACCACACACTCGCTCTACCACCTCTGCCCGTCGGTGAGTACCAACTGGTATACAAACTTAGCACTGTAGTTGTACATGTATGCAATATTTTCTATAGAAATGGCAATGATTTTCTGTATATGTAATGTATTTCATGGGGCAAAGGGAGGCTCAGGAACGTAACTCCCGTATTTTATCTATTTCTTATGGGGAAAATTGATCCACTTTACGTTGTTTCGTATAACGTCACGTTTTTTGGAACGTAACCCCGACTTTAAGCGAGGACTGACTGTATACCAATTAAGGATGCATGAATCCCTTATAAACCTGAAGCAACTGCTCAGGAGTGAAGTAGCTATGGCATCTGTTCAGCATTCCCAGTTTTCGGGAAGCAGCTTTAGCAATGTTGTGGGTGTGTGGCTTCCATGATATATTAGAGGAAATGGTGAGGCCTAGCATATCTATTTTATAATTTGGCAAAATGATTGCATCCTGAAATGTGATTGGTGGGAGATCTTATATTTTGGAAAGTGTAAATGGTAAATACTGTGATTTATTACTATTGAATTTAACCAAATTTCTACCTCCCCATTCGGAGATGCTGCACAGATCCGCATTGATAGATAAAACTATATCAGCTCTAGAAACAAATCTAGTTTGCTGAATTGGGGGTTAGAGGTGAAGAGAAGAGTAAAATCATCAGCGTAAGAATGGATAGAATTAGTTGTAGTGTGAAGTAAATCATTGATAAAAAGAAGGAAGAGAGTAGGCGAAAGAACAGAACCCTGTGGAACACCACTATTGGTAGAAAAAGAGTAAGAGATCAATCCCTCGACAACAACTGCCATGGATCGGTTCTCAAGGAAGCTAGAATTTAGAGAACAAAGTGGAGGAGAGAAACCATAAGAGGGAAGTTTAGAAAGTAACAGAACAGTACAGTACAATATTGTATATGCAGGCCTTCATTTTTTTGTTAGGTTACATCATTAAGGGGCCATATAATTGTAAAATCACAATTGTAAATCAATCAACTAATGGAAAACTAGGGAGTGGGGGTCCAGGAACCAATGAGAGTATCCATTACTAAAATTTGTCCTCCTCATGAATGATATTACACTGGACACTCACCTGTAGTGCTAGTAGTGTCCACTCACCTGTAGTACTGGTAGGGTGTCCACTCCTTATTTTCAGTAGTGCGCTTGAAGATGGCAAAGGACTCTGGGCGCGGGGAGTGGAAGAAGAGTCTTACATAGGTGATGTCAAATGCCTTTCCTGTGAGAAGGAAGAATACGGTTATGGGGGCCTCCTTCACCCATTAATCTTACCTTTAACACTACCTCCTTTGTTTATTATATAAAGATAAATATTGGCAAAGGATTTTAATTGAAGTGCCACTAGTGGTTTTGAGACCTTGCTTCTAGTTCATATGTTATATGGATGTATCTGTAGTTTACACTTTTGGTGTCACAACTGTAAAATAATTTTTTAGTTACCCTGTACTGTTAAGACAAAATAAACTAGCATATCCTAAATTAACCTATCCTATAGTATCCTAATGATCAGTGTTTGTTACTCTGTTACCCTGTTCCCTATGTTTGTTAGCTACCCTGTTCCCTATGTTTGTTTATTCTGTTCCCTATGTCTGTTACTATTACCCTGTTCCCTACGTTTGTTACTACGTTATTCTGCTCTCTACATTGTTCCTATGTTACCCTGTTCCCTATGTCTGTTACTATTACCCTGTTCCCTACATTAGTTACCATGCACAGTACATGTACGTATGGTTTTTTTCAGTAAGGGTACATTACATTTTAATGGGGTGTGGATCCACTAATGCCTATCTTGAACATTTGAGGCTATCACGTTCTTCCATTTTTTTTACAGATTACTGTCCAAACAAACTTGTTAACAGAGACGAAAATCCCATTAAGCTCTCCTTCAATGATAAGAGTTTGTTTGGCTTATCGACCATCATGTATCCACGGACCTACAGGTATAATATTCATATTAACTTAACCGTGACCTTTCTCATCATGCAGAAATACAGTACTATATATAATTATGCCTAGCTTGAGATAACATCATACCACATTCACACTGGCAGGAAGTGAGGGATAAGAAGGAGTTAAATACAGTCAGTGTATCTGTACCACAGACCTCAACACACTTGAGAGTAACAATGACAAAAATATCAGTTTGCAAGGCTGTTTATCTCAACACGCTTTACAGTTCTGGAGCCATCACTGTGTACCACGCCAGCTGCACTTCCTGTTCTCAGAATGAAATAATTGATGGCAATCATGTACAGTACTTCAGTCATAATATGGACCAGCAAAATTGCCTGGCATCATTTGGGTTACGTCTATACTGCAAGGAAGGTGTTTTAATAGCACCATGGTGATCCAGGTGTTATAATAGCACCATGGTGATCCAGGTGTTACAATAGCACCATGGTGATCCAGGTGTTATAATAGCACCATGGTGATCCAGGTGTTATAATAGCACCATGGTGATCCAGGTGTTACAATAGCACCATGGTGATCCAGGTGTTATAATAGCACCATGGTGATCCAGGTGTTATAATAGCACCATGGTGATCCAGGCATTATAATAGCACCATGGTGATCCAGGTGTTATAATAGCACCATGGTGATCCAGGCGTTATAATAGCACCATGGTGATCCAGGTGTTATAATAGCACCATGGTGATCCAGGTGTTATAATAGCACCATGGTGATCCACCATGGTGATCCAGGTGATCCATGGTGATCCAGGCGTTATAATAGCACCATGGTGATCAGGCATAGGTGATCCAGGTGTTACAATAGCACCATGGTGATCCAGGTGTTATAATAGCACCATGGTGATCCATGGTGATCCAGGCGTTATAATAGCACCATGGTGATCCAGGTGTTACAATAGCACCATGGTGATCCAGGTGTTATAATAGCACCATGGTGATCCAGGTGTTATAATAGCACCATGGTGATCCAGGCATTATAATAGCACCATGGTGATCCAGGTGTTATAATAGCACCATGGTGATCCAGGTGTTATAATAGCACCATGGTGATCCAGGTGTTATAATAGCACCATGGTGATCCAGGTGTTACAATAGCACCATGGTGATCCAGGTGTTATAATAGCACCATGGTGATCCAGGTGTTATAATAGCACCATGGTGATCCAGGCATTATAATAGCACCATGGTGATCCAGGTGTTATAATAGCAATTCATGGTGATCCAGGTGTTACAGCACCACATGGTGATCCAGGTGTTATAATAGCACCATGGTGATCCAGGTGTTATAATAGCACCATGGTGATCCAGGCGTTATAATACACCATGGCGAATTGCGGGTAAGCAGGTTTAGCACCATGGTGATCCAGGCGTTATAATAGCGCCATGGTGATCCAGGTGTTGGCATTAGCACCAGCGCAGGATTCCGGTGTTATAATAGCACCATGGTGATCCAGGTGTTATAATAGCACCATGGTGATCCAGGTAATGTATCCAGGTAGCACCATGGTGATAGCACCAGGTGTTATAATAGCACCATGGTGATCCAGGTGTTATAATAGCACCATGGTGATCCAGGTGTTATAATAGCACCATGGTGATCCAGGTGTTATAATAGCACCATGGTGATCCAGGTGTTATAATAGCACCATGGTGATCCAGGTGTTATAATAGCACCATGGTGATCCAGGTGTGATCCAGGTGTTATAATAGCGCCATGGTGATCCAGTTATACCAGCGCCATGGTGATCCAGGTGTTATAATAGCCATGGTGATCCAGGTGTTATAATAGCACCATGGTGATCCAGGCATTATAATAGCACCATGGTGATCCAGGTGTTATAATAGCACCATGGTGATCCAGGTGTTATAATAGCACCATGGTGATCCAGGTGTTTAATAGCACCATGGTGATCCAGGTAAGCTATAATAGCACCATGGTGATCCAGGTGTTATAATAGCACCATGGTGATCCAGGTGTTATAATAGCACCATGGTGATCCAGGTGTTATAATAGCACCATGGTGTTATAATAGCACCAGGTGTTATAATAGCGCCATGGTGATCCAGGTGTTATAATAGCACCATGGTGATCCAGGTGTTATAATAGCACCATGGTGATCCAGGTGTTATAATAGCACCATGGTGATCCAGGTGTTATAATAGCACCATGGTGATCCAGGTGTTATAATAGCACCATGGTGATCCAGGTGTTATAATAGCACCATGGTGATCCATGGTGATCCAGGTTATAATAGCACCATGGTGATCCAGGCATTATATTGCAATTATGGTGATCCAGGTGTTATAATAGCACCATGGTGATCCAGGTGTTATAATAGCACCATGGTGATCCAGGTGTTATAATAGCACCATGGTGATCCAGGTGTTATAATAGCACCAGGATCCAGGTGTTATAATAGCGCCATGGCGATCCAGGTGTTAAGTAATTACCATGGTGATCCAGGTGTTATAATAGCAATTCATGGTGATCCAGGTGTTATAATAGCACCATGGTGATCCAGGTGTTATAATAGCACCATGGTGATCCAGGTGTTATAATAGTCCATGGTGATCCAGTGTTATAATAGCACCATGGTGATCCAGGTGTTATAATAGCACCATGGTGATCCAGGTGTTATAATATACCATGGTGATCCAGGTGTTATAATAGCACCATGGTGATCCAGGTGTTATATAGCACCATGGTGATCCAGGTTATAATAGCGCCATGGTGATCCAGGTGTTATAATAGCACCATGGTGATCCAGGTGTTATAATAGCACGCGGTGATCCAGGTGTTATAATAGCGCCATGGTGATCCAGGTGTTATAATAGCAGCATCTATGGTGATCCAGGATGTTATAATAGCACCATGGTGATCCAGGTGTTATAATAGCACCATGGTGATCCAGGTGTTATAATAGCACCATGGTGATCCAGGTGTTATAATAGCGCCATGGTGATCCAGGCGTTATAATAGCACCATGGTGATCCAGGCGTTATAATAGCACCATGGTGATCCAGGTGTTATAACAGCACCATGGTGATCCAGGTGTTATAATAGCACCATGGTGATCCAGGTGTTATAATAGCACCATGGTGATCCAGGTGTTATAATAGCACCATGGTGATCCAGGTGTTATAATAGCACCATGGTGATCCAGGTGTTATAATAACACCATGGTGATCCAGGTGTTATAATAGCACCATGGTGATCCAGGTGTTATAATAGCACCATGGTGATCCAGGTGTTATAATAGCACCATGGTGATCCAGGTGTTATAATAGCACCATGGTGATCCAGGTGTTATAATAGCACCATGGTGATCCAGGTGTTATAATAGCACCATGGTGATCCAGGTGTTATAATAGCACCATGGTGATCCAGGTGTTATAATAGGCACCATGGTGATCCAGGGTAATAGCACCATGGTGATCCAGGTGTTAATAGCACCATGGTGATCCAGGTGTTATAATAGCACCATGGTGATCCAGGTGTTTTAATAGCACCATGGTGATCCAGGTGTTATAATAGCACCATGGTGATCCAGGTGTTATAATAGCACCATGGTGATCCAGGTGTTATAATAGCGCCATGGTGATCCAGGTGTTATAATAGCGCCATGGTGATCCAGGTGTTATAATAGCACCATGGTGATCCAGGTGTTATAATAGCACCATGGTGATCCAGGTGTTATAATAGCACCATGGTGATCCAGGTGTTATAATAGCACCATGGTGATCCAGGTGTTATAATAGCACCATGGTGATCCAGGTGTTATAATAGCACCATGGTGATCCAGGTGCTATAATAGCGCCATAGTGATCCAGGTGTTATAATAGCACCATGGTGATCCAGGTGTTATAATAGCACCATGGTGATCCAGGTGTTATAATAGCACCATGGTGATCCAGGTGTTATAATAGCACCATGGTGATCCAGGTGTTATAATAGCACCATGGTGATCCAGGTGTTATAATAGCGCCATGGTGATCCAGGTGTTATAATAGCGCCATGGTTAAATACAAATAAGATGTTTAGTAAAGTAATTACCTAGGCTAAGTGTGATGTTAACCTGGTTGGGGAACTGGATACCCTCATACATGGTCTCAGACTGCCACCAGGTGTGGTTGTCGTTGTTGTTAAAGTCAGTCAGGTAGTGAGAGGGGTGAGCCAGCTCGGGCACGTAGGCATTGCACACCTCACACGCCTTCTTGGATCCGTAGCCGCCAGTTTGTAGGCAGTACTCCTGAGGCCGCTGAACTCCACATGTATTAGTCACCTCCACTGGCAGGTTGAACGCCGCGTTCACAAACTCCGTTACACATTTCTGTCAACATGAAGGAGAACATACAATACAGTGAAAGGGCACCATGGTACAGTACCAGTGTTAATGATTTTATGACAACATCGTTTTTAACCCTTTGTAGGGCAGCGATACATTTGTACAGTATTTTAGTCTAGCTAACATCAGACGATTTTCTTCTGCCGAGAGAAACCACCTGCCCTACAAAGGGCTAAATACTTTCTAAACTTATGCACTAATGAGAAGCTCCACCTCAAATTATTCATCAACCAATTATCCCACAGAAGGATAACATAAATGCTTAAACTATCCTGAACTGATTCTATAGGCCACCAATACACTGTACCGTACTTCCTTTTAGTGTCCTTTTTACATTTAATCATATTTTATTTATTTTTTCTAAAATGTCTGACACACCAATTTTGAAACAAGATACAATTATCTTCCACAGATCCATTGATCGATCACATCGGGACCAGGCCATATTCAAGAGCAGTTATGGGGTGTACGACGCCATTTATGATGACCTTCTTGCACTGATCTTTTTTCAGCAATATCGCCTCTAACACATGGAACTCAGCACTTTTCGAAGCTTTGGAGGAGTCTCGAATCAAGTTTCCTGGTGGGAATTATTAGCTAGTACCTGTAGTATTCAAAATATCGAAACTTCAAGATCTCTCCAGAGCTTAGAAAAGGTGGTATTCCTGAAACAAGATCAGGGCAAGAAGGTCATCGTAAATGGCGTCGAACACCCCCTAACTGTTCTTCGTCTGATGGTTGGGCAGCGCGATTGATCGAGTGCAAATACTGTACATCGACCGGGAATAAATATGAAATTCTTGAGTACTATTCAAAGTATTTCAACGGAATGTGAATCATCCACATCAATTGTTAAAGAATGTTGACAGGAAATTGATACCCAGCCATAGTAAGTTAACATATGGATTTTAATTTTTCATGGTTAGAGTAGTAAGAGGTGGAAGAGATACTGGCAAATATATTGTATACCTTAATTTAAGATGGGTAGATGCAAGACGAGCGAGAGACGTATTAAGGAGACGAAAGAACAGAGAGAAGGATGGCAAATGTGAAGGGGATGTATCCGGGTAGCAGCATAGCTCACGAACGGAGAGAGTAAAGATGTTGGCTCTGGTGAGTGATTTATGGGCATGTTGCAGCAGGCAGACTGAATGCATGAAAGAAAGGAAGAGGAGAGAGCCGGTTTCCACTCTTCTTACCTCGATTTCCGCCGACAATGAGCAGAAACCATGGCGCAAGTAATTGTCTTCTTATGGTAAAACTCTCCCATAAAAGATAAAGTATGTCTGTATTATTAGTTGCCCTACAACTTACTTTATTACAGCTTAATGTAAAGTAAAAATACAAGAATAAAGGAAAGCAACTATCATTAGCCATACATCAGACAAGTGATGTAGATATGAGCGCATAACATTAACACTCGTGGGGAGAACATTACGACATCTGGATACCAAAATTACTTAATTTCTAGTACTGCACATGTGTCTAAAAAGGGGGTTATATGTACCACGCCCCTGCCCCATAGATTTCCAGGGCGGATCCAAGGGGGGGGGGGGTGGTCTGGACCCCTCTTTTCACCAGAAAATTCCAATACTTTTTCTTTAATGCAGTTTTGTACTCAGGCATTTTTGTATAGTAAAAAGTATTTACTACTGACTTCAGAATATCTCTTAATATCAACTCAAAATGCCCATGATATTGATCACATTTAAAATAAAAACACCAGGGGATGGAGGACCCCAGGGGAACCCCCTGTGAGAGCTGGTTGGGCTCGCTGCGCTTGCCATGTTCCCCCACACACAACTTCTTGGACCCCCGCTCCCCCCTTTTCATATTCTTGGATCCTCACCTGACACTAATGGATACAGCCAAGACATGCAACACTCATCCTGGCTGCGCTCAGAAACACAGGCCATGACATTCTCCCCTCAACACACTCCACATCTCTCAATATTACAATATTAACACGATACATTATCCACACGTAGCAATATGTAGTAATACTACAGTGCAGGTTTATGAAGGATAACAAAAGGTATAATTAGTTGTCTAGCAGACACAAAGGCACAGTTGGCAGATGGTAGTAGGCAGCTAGCAAACAGGGAGGTACAGCCGCCTGGGAAGATATTGGAAGCATTATGTGTTGTCAAATGGTAGACTCTGCTGCCATATGTGACCAAGTCCCAGGTTACTGATCTGACTTTCTGCCTCATTTACACACAATTGCAGGTCTCAATTGTTTCTCTTACTTGACAACACAACATACATATAGCGTTTCTCACTATTGATTTTTTTCATTTTTGTATTTCTTTATAGTTCTTTATTATTATTATTATTATTATTATTAATATTATTATTATTGTTATTATTATTGTTATCATAATTATTTAATTTTACTTTATATTATAAATTTTACTTACTATGAATAATTATTACATTATCGCCCCCCAGGCCCTGATGTGACATGTGCCCGGGTGGGCTAATCCCCGAAATAAGGATCAATACCATTGTTGCCAAACAAAACTAGCTATAGACAAGCTAGACCTCAAAATCGTCAAAAATCACAAACTATCTCATTAGATGTCACGAAATGTGTGTAAGTTTTCTAAGTTAGTTGTTATAAAGTTTCACCAGAGCAATCCGTCTCTAGATACGATACGGTAATAGAGTTTCTCAATTAGCAACAATGCCTCCCACCCTTTTCTGGAAACTGACAACACACTACGTTTTTTTTTTCATTGCTGTAAACTTCTAAAAATTTTCAATATTTTGCGACGAATTCTAACATTTGCTCACAAATTCTAGTTTCAGACATGAAGATCAAGCAAAGCATGCACAGCAGGGGTAAGGTACTGGCGACGGCCCAAAACAACGTCTGCAGAGATGCTTCATATTTATAATTTATTAATTTTTTTTTTTTCAGGGGCGTTATTTTTACATTATTAATGTAGCACAACCTCTCAAATATATAATTCTTTAATCCAAAATATTTATTCTAACATCAAGGCCAGTACCCTTTCACCGAAGTTAATATTGTATGAAATTCAGTTCTGACAAATGACAATAATATAAGAAAAAAGTCTGGTGGTTTCATAAGATCAAATATTTGAATTAGAGTATAGTTGCTTTCGCTACATAAAACATTAAGAAAAATAACCTCTGGATTAAAAAATAGGTAAAAAATTCTATAATCAATGTCCAGGTTTTCAGTGCTTGTTAACTTTGCGAAGTAATCTGGTGTGTCCCTTGTCTCAGCATAATTTCTGATTAATTGGGAGAAAGAGGTTTGTTTAAATAATAGTTTCACTACTATTGCAGACAGTGAATAAGCGAAGCTTGGGGAAACGTGTGGATTCTTCAGCTCCTAAAGGGGCTATCACACCAAACAAAATCTACACATTCCCAAGGGAGAAAACAGTAATACCGCCGTTCGCAGTCAAAATTTTCGCCTAAAAACATATATGAGGAATAGAAAAGTATGGGAATTAAGAGCAAGTTTTGACTGCATTTCTAGTCAATTTGAGGGTTTATAACATTCATAATTGAAATTTAATAATTTCATTAAAACAAGTTATTAGGAAAATTTTTATTACATCCCAAATTAACACAGAATTTAACACGGGTTCTCCCTTAACTCGATACGTTCTAAACATTCTTGATATTTTGAGTCCCACATAAATTCGAAAATCTTAACTTTTTTTATAAAATCCATAATAATTAACGTAAAACGCCACACTAAGTATTATACGAGGAATATTTGTCCTCGACGATCTACAAACTGCAGTTAGTATCAGCAACTCTCGGAGTTTCCCAACTGGCGCAGCTTGACGCAACACTCGCCACTTGACCACTTACATGTAACCACTTAACCTGTTAGGCAATGTACTGTGCGCGCGCTCAAGTGGGTTCATCACTACTGTACTGTAACCTGACCCTAAAGTGCAGTTGTTCTACACTTCTCATTCCCACAACACACTATAATCATACGCAACCCTACAGTTACAGTATGAGACAATCACACACACACAATATGACAATAATCATACGCAGTCATACGGATAAGTACAAGGTAACAACCACACACACACGCACCATAATCATACGCAACCATACAGATACCACAACCTTGGTATCCGCCCACCAACCCACCCATAACCAAATGAGATTCTCTATAACACTCCCACCAGACGAGAACCTTTACATCAAATTGTCAGTGATTCATAAATAACTTGTATGTTCACCCCATGTATCCTTTTGGTATTGAAAGTATTGATTAGACAAACAACTCTCCAATGCCACTGTACCTGATACTGTCTGTCAAATTAACTTTTGTTTTAAGAGGGAAAAAGGTCAGTAATTGCTTAGCCATGTCTCCCACCCCCAGTACCCAGTTTGGAGTCAACCTGGCGCCCCAATGATTTGTTTTACACTAACTTGTTAAATGCACTGCAAGTTACAGTTTGTAATACATTTTCTTCAGTATACGACAATGCACAGGTCCAGAGCGTACTATATATATATATATATATATATATATATATATATATATATATATATATATATATATATATATATATATATATATATATATATAAAAGGGTGTATACCTTTCCGTAAGCACTACGTCAGTCATGTGGAACATCCCAGGAAGAGAGAGAGGGAGTTGGGGAGGCGGGTGCCGCCCCTGGTCTGCCCTGGGCCGGAAGTGTCCTTATCAGCAGCCACCACCGCCCTGTGTGCAGATAACCCTGCCGCCTCACTGACAGCCGCCTTATTGAAAGCTGTCTCACTGACAGCCGCCTTATTGAAAGCTGTCTCACTGACAGCCGCCTTATTGAAAGCTGTAGCACTGGCAGCTGCTTCACTGACTGCCGCCTCACTGATAGTCGCCTCGCTGACAGCCGATTCACTAACGGGTGCTTCACTGATTCTCGCCTCACTGACAGCCGTCTCACGGACACATGCCTCACGGATAGCTGCCTCAC